CGGTTCGGCTCTAGAACCGGGCGGTTCGGCTCTAGAACCGGGCGGTTCCCGATTTTGTGCTGAAAATCTGCACGTGCTGTGTCGATTCTCGAGTCGAACCGGGCTCGCCGATTTTTAAATCTTTGCTTAGAATGGAAAAAATAGAACTAATCAGGACACGTGTCAAAATAATAAAGGTGGATCTCCGCTCATTTAATACATAATAGAATTAAAGGAAACAATATAAATACTAAAGCAACCGTATGCTATAGAAATGAAGTGCACGTCAAAAATGTAGTGGAAAATAGTGTTATGAAGTTGGACCTCAAGATGTATATATATGCATGAAAAAAAATACTTTCAATTTTTAAAATAGTGTATTGTCTACTTTCAAGATTTTTAAGTATTTACAATTTACTCGATCATTATTATTTTTAGAAATTTAAATTTCACAACAGGATTGAATATAGATTTTCAAGGCATTGGTTTGAAAAACTTTAAAGGTGCACCTCACTTGCTATTGTAGACACCCCTCCAAATTCTGGCTAAGGGAATGTCTTAAAACCCTGATTCTGAACCCAAATGACCACGCAAAACCTAACAGATCCTAGTATACCTAAATCTAATTTTAATTATCTCAAATATTTTTAAACCTATTCCAAGCCATAGTAGACCTCGAGAGATTTTCAACATTCTAAGAATCACTAGAATCGGACCTACGGATCAAAAGTTAGGGCTTGAGGGGCTTCACCTTGAAAAATTTACCAAAATGCCCCTGGGTCGTGCCGTGCAGGGTGCTCTGTTGTGCTGGGCCACACGACGTGTCACACGTTGGCCCGGGTGAGGTTCTGAACCATGTGCGGCCCGATGGGCCCGACCACACCTTATTCCTTTAGAAGTGAGTTTGAGGAGGTTTTAAATTCTCGAAAATTCCAAAAAATGGGGAAAATCTAGAAAATGCGTAAAACCTGGTCATACTTGAACTAGGATATAAGATTAATTATTTCAAATCTATCCCTAGTTTAAACCTATAAATACCCCTTCAAAAGTTCCAAAAAACACTGGAAATATAGACCAAATATCCTTAGAAAAACCATAACGAAAATTCACAGATAATTAAAAAATTCACAAATAATTCCAGATAAATAGGTAGACCATCTAGAAAAATTAGAAAACTAGGGAATTCATCCAATAATCTAGGAGTATAGGAAAAATCCTTAGAAAAGTAAGAAAACCCCTAGAATTAAAATCCCCCAAGTTCAATTTTTTCAAAATTACTCATCCTTGCAACAAGTTCTTCTAGGTCCAAATCAAAACATTAGAGTCATACTTCAAGAAGTAAAGAGAAGTCCCCAAATTTGTAATTCAACATGTGGGTCAGATATGGGGCCCAACTTTGGGTTTCTCAAGTATGTGTTCTTTTTGTCTCTTTTATTTTTTATTTATTTTATTTTTTCCTTTAATTTTCTGTTTTATTTTATTTTTCTTGATATTTCTTTATTATTAGTTTAGTTGAATTTTAGGAAGCTTTTAAGGTATAATATATGGATTTGAAGCTGGCGTTGCCAATGGACTCATAAAGGGTTGGATCTGTAATGTTTATAAGTCCATAATTTGAGCGACCCCACTACCTCTATTGATCTTTAAAATTAACTCGTTCTAAATTAGATTGGAGTTGATCTAGCTCAGAGATCTATGCAAATCCGAATGTAAACAAGTATAAAGTGGGCACTTTATATAAAACTCACCCCAAAATAAACAGGCGAGGTTTGCATAAGGTTACAAACTTATTTGTAGAAATAAAGATGCAATACTCTATACTATTCATTTTACTTGGACGGTATAGATTTGATACAGACAGTGTCAATACATCGCATGTCTTTTAAGATAGTGTCCAATGTATACCGTCCAAATAAAATAGACGGTAGAGATTAGTGTAACCTTCTTTTTCTCTTTTTGTTGGATAAATTCAGTGGGGAAGCCATATTTCTAAATAGTTTAGGAGTTAATGAAAAAAAAATTAAGAGCCAACTTTTTTGAAATGATAAACGAAGTAATTTCCGTGAAAATGAAAACGAACTAAAGCAGCTTTTTTTAAAATAAATATCTTTTAACATAAAATAATAGATAATTTTACAAAGTGGTAGTAACGTTAAGATTAGTAACGACAAGGTCCCCTTTTAGCCGCACGATTTAAATGATGTTGCTTATCAACATACGGAGATCTTTTAGAAATGAAGTGGTTTGATTTTAGTGTCGGGGCTTTCCGTCCAAATCATTTAAAATGTTTTTGCATTTTTTTTTACCCGTCGTTTCAAGCCATAATTATAGCGCGTCGGCATTAGAAGCCAGCCAATCACATGAAAAGGAAAGGCTCCTTTTGCATTTCAACACTTTTGTACTTCTTATTTCAAAGATTCCATCAATGTGAACGTGAAGAATCTTTTCAGAAATGAACGGTGCCTGCTGCCGTCCTTTATTGCGCTTCACACTGCCCCACTCCGTCCACTATCACACTGCCCTACTTCGCTTTTAAATTTGAAAGGATAACTTTTGTACTATCTACGTTTATATAAAGTTGTAAAAGGCTTTTAAAGTAGTTGATCCACACCCAAATTATTCAATTCAGCAAGTAATTATTGACGGCCATCCAGCTATCTCAATCCCAAGGTCATCGATTTTGCACAGTGAATACATTGTGAATGGGTTTCAAGCTTTCCAATCCAATTTTACTGCCATTTTCAGATAATTGTTGCTCTAAAATGAGTGAAAATTGCTTATAAATCCAATATGCTATCGATTTTAAGAAATAATTAGCTATTTGGAGATCAAAACAAGGGGTTTTTTTTTTTTCCAAAGATTTTGTCAAAATCTTCCTTACAATCGATTTCAGCCTCAATTTATGACCCAATTTCTTGAAATTTGTTTGTATTTGAAGAGAAATGAATTCTACACACTATTCAAGTGCGCTTTTGTTCAATTGAGTTGGGATTCCCCCGTTAGAGTATGGCCATTAAGGCTTCATGACCACCATAGTGTTCATGGTCCCTCTCTTTCTTTCTATTTTAAATGTATTTAATTCCATTTAATTATATTATATACTTGCTATAATTATCTCATTGCATTCAAATCATTTGACTATCTTTTATGGTAAATTTCATTATCTTTTTTTTTTTTCTTTACTACCTATCAATGATATTCTAACGGTCACATTAAACAAAACATTTTTCTTTAGGGTAAGAGAGAGAGAGAGAATAAGGTAAAAAAAAAAAAAAACTAAGCTACTGATATGGGCATAAAGAAATGTGGACCATTAGATGAAAAACCTGTCATATATGACAAGGTTTAGCTATTGTAAGGGGCTCACTCACCCATTACAATACATACAGAAAATTATCAAAGATATTGTCCATCTCTCTAGCTATCCATAAGCTTAACATCAAATATTTTTTTTTGTTTTTTTTTTTACCCAACCATATTTCTGTCTATCATTTGCAAATGAATTGTTTTTGTTTTAATATTTTACGACATTGGTATAAGAGCGTGTTTTTTTCTCTGCTGGGTGCTATCAATCTTTGGAGCTCCATTGTTTCTCTCTCCGCCTTAAGTTCACAGGGGCACACTATTGCCACCTGCAAGTGTACGAACGCAAGACACATTTTTGTGGGATTTGTTACTTTTATCCTTTCTGAACTTTTCGTTGTTTGTCATTTTGCTTCAATTCTATGGAGCCCCGTTTTTACTCCATTCTTTACGTCCTTTTGTTTACTTATGTCTCCTACCCCTCTTTCTCTCTTTAAGGGTTGTGGTTTGTATAGAGCCTAGGCTCTAAACAGTCAAATTAGAACGTACTTTAAAATAGTATTGAGAAATATGGATTCAATATTAGAAATATTTGTGATAGCCTTAATATATTTTTATTTTTATTTATAAAGATTAAAGCTTAAAAAATAATATAAATCGACCGATCTATAAAATCTTGAAAAATTTGAAAATTGACGGTCAAAAAATGGATTACAATATACACTATTTCCAGAACTTGAAATACATTTTTTTTCTCATGTTCATGCACCTTGATGTCAAGATGATCAGTTTGAGAATATTTGGGCATCAAACCAACCTCTTTTAGTGAAATTTTTTAGGTCGGTTCTAGTTTGATTGTATAGAGCCTCGGCTCTGTATAAACTTTTTCCCTTATTTTTAGCACTATAAAGCAGCACGTCATTCTTTTTTATGTTGCCCTCTCTCCCAACTCATTTGTGAGCAAAGGGTTCGTGCGCCCCTGGGGGCGACGACATTGTAGCATCTGAGCTCCACCAGTTTTGGACGTCATTCTGTTTTTTTCTGCTGCCATCTCTCCCAACTCAACCATTTCCATCTTTTCTATCAAGATTTTCTTTTACGGCCTCGCCATTATTTTCTCTCCATCGCAGTAACGCTACAGTTCCAGGTAGGTGTCATTTTTTTACTGTGTTTGTCTTTTTGCTGTAATTTTGTCCACATAGGAATTTACTTTGATGCCTTTTCCACTGGAGTCACGTTTTGTTCTCTTCAAATCCAACTGTTTTGTACGCAGTTCACACAACTTTCCACCGATTCCTGCACTTTTTTTTTTTCCTTTGTGGACCAGTGCCATACGAACTGTTTGACAAAAGACCAGGGCCACCTAAAAGCGCAATTAGCCCCATCATTGGCGCTTCTTTGAAGGTCATTATTTGCTGCTCCACTCGAGGAGGTTTGTGACTCAGCATTTACCACAGGGTACCGCCATCATCATCCAAGAAATTGATAAAATCATTCATCTAGAAAGTAGTCAGTTGATCTAAACCTTGAATTTGTTGATATACTTATATTTCTTTGATAGCACGGCCGCTAGATTGGTGATGAGTGAACTATCTAAAATTGCAAAACTTAATGGGTCAAACTTCAATATATGGAAAAGAAAAATGAATTAAATATTGTTTTAGGACAAGATTGACTATATTTTGACTTGAACTAAACTTGAATTGGGTATAAACCCCTTTGCTTATAGTAGAAAAGTACGTGCTAAATGGGAGGGGGATGGCAAATTAGCAAAAATTACATTGTTTACTTTGTGGAGGATGATTTGATACGAGTTTTTAAAAATTATGAAACATCCAAATTGATGGAAGCTTTGATTGCAAATATGGATCTACATCTGAAACCCATATTCAACTTTTGTTGGAGAAATACAATTCATGTAGGTTGAAGGAAAATTAGTCTATGGTAGAGAATGTTAACAAAATGCTTGTTCTTACTAAATACCTTGCTGCGACAGGAAACCTCATTTTCGATGGTATGCTAGTGTCAACTGTATTGAATAGTCTCCCACAGTTATGGGAGCATGTAGTCATTGCTTTTAATCACTCATCCCAAAGAATTACCATGTTGAACTTACCCATGCACCTGAGTATAGAGGAATAAATAAGAAATAAAAAGAGAAAGACATAATTGCACTTTGTTCAAAATTCCTCTAAAAGTAACCACCTTAGATGATAGTGGATACAAAGACTGGAGCAAATTTTCAAGCCGAAAAACAAGGCAAAATGGACAACTTCAACAATCCACTTGCTAAAAACCAAGCTAAATGAATAAGTTACAATCCTTTAAATAACAATTACAACAATTTCTAGCATTGTAAAACCATTGTAAATAACTCAAAAGGGGTATGAAATATGGCTAAATAATTTGAGACTAAATTATTTGATGGATTTGAAGCAAAGTAATCAATGGTTATTATGCATGATCATGGATTCTCATGTATATAGGTTATAACTCATGAAAGACCACATTATGAATAAGCATGATGAAAAAGATGATCAAATGGGGATTCTAAGATCAACGAAACTTTTATAAATTTAGGACTCCAACAACTATAGATGTCAAGAATATTATCTTATGAGAAAAAGAAATTCAATGGAGTTTACCTTGATAAATGCACACTATTGACTTAAGCATAAGAAATGAGGACCATCATCACGATCACCATTAATGGAACTCTAAAAGCTCCCTCTCTTTAATTTTCTCTCACAAAGCCTTAGAAGAAGGGAAGGAGGCAACAATTTTTCAAAATGATTCAAGAGTTGAGATAGTTAGGGTTTGAGATCTCATGACGTGCTTTTATAACATGGGTGTAACATTGGACTCAATCAACACCCTTGACGCACTAATCCAAAGGTACATGAGAGGCTAATGTACCTAACCACCCATCCCCATCCAACTACTAGGATGAAGGGATGGGATTTCGCACCATTATCACTTACCCTACCCCCAAGTTATGCCACTCTACCATTTTGTCATTGGCTTATGCTTTTGTTCCAATTGTATCTAATATGACCTTATAAAAATACTTTTAGTTTTTTTTAATGATGTATTAGAGCAGATAACCACAAAGGCTAAAGGGCAAAGAAGTAATTGGCAAAGCTTACACATGTGGAGATATTCTACTTTATCAAAGCCAATCACTTTGTAGATCTAAAATTTCAAGCCAATCAATATAAAGATAATATCCCCTTCACACATGTGTGTAAAGATATTTTTCAACTCAAATTTGAAAATGCATTTTCTCTTTAATATCAAATAAAAAAATTAATTAAACTTCACACATGTCATGCATGACCGATGTGTAAGTTAATTAAGACGTAATAAAAATGGGGCCTTAAGTTATAACATTACATAATAAAATATAATAATATATAATAAGACACCATAACACAACCCCTTATAAAACAAGCAACCAATTGCCAATTGGTCCCCCGCCTAGGGATCAGTGCCCAGCTGGGTGGTGATCCTAGAGTGAGGCGTGGGGTGCCACATGGCAACGTTATGGCCACTCGGATGCCACATGACACTACCAGATCAGGACTAAAGTGGAATTTGAGTCAATCAATTTGAAAAACTTCATTTTTTTAGCAAATAAAATTCTGAAAAATTCTCTAAAATTCACAACGAATATCGAAAGTATTTTTGAGCAATTATTAGGTTTTTCTCATCATTAAAAAATCGGACAAAAGGTATAGTGAGATCTCAGGCTAATAACTATAAGTAACAGAGTACTCCATTGGTTAGTCCCAAATGATGTTCTGTCGAGTCTCAGATCGACCCAATAGACCTATGTTCTATAGTCTAAAGCAGAGGCACATAATTGACTATATTAAAGCCGCTAAGCCAGAACTTCCAATCATCCGGCTCTCAATGGATTATAAGTGTACCCCTGTAGGACATGATCTAACACAATTACAAGGGTCCTCTCAAAACACACGTGCACTGGCTCATCCAAACTCGGATAATATATTTGGAAGAGTGGCTTCCTGTATGAAATGAAAATGCACATGCCATGTAATGGTCTCGTGTCAGGATATGGACTTATGTCCCATAAGTCTTAACTATTCCATATAGGACGAATACTCAATAAGTTCTCGGGTTCTAGTTTTCTCGTTTGGATTCTTCAAGCCCTAGCCGGCTGTAGCTAAACATGAGGCTAACCTATAAATCCTGACTAGGAGGTGACCCTCACCCTCCTTGAGAAATTTCTTTATCAATACGTGAACTCTCGATGCTTCATGCGTACTCGGGGTAAAAGAATCTGTACTCCATTTCGCATGACGTCAAAATTTCAATCTCTCAATCTCTCCACTGAATGAGAGACTACTAGAATTTAGACCTTGATAGGCCATATTTCAAACATTAGACTCTACAAAAATCGAAATGATAACAATCGATTTAAATGCACGGGTAAGGTTTTCAAACCACAAAGCAGAAAGGCTTACAACAACCCACCAAAATGTTACAACTGCTGAGAGATAGAGCATGTTAAACATAAATGTCCAAATAAAAATATTTTCAATAATGGCTACCGTAGGAACAATGGACAAAGGAGCAACAACAAGAATAACAAGAAATTCGAGTTAGTTTGTGTGGTCTCTGATTCTATGGCGGCTGATCATGATATAAGAGGATGGTGGTAGACTCTGCATCGACCAGACATGTTTCAAAAACTAAAAGTGGTTTTGTTGATTTGAAGGAAGTCAAAACCGATGACCAATGGATATACATGGAAAATGACACCTTCTGTGATGTGCTAGGTTTTGTTGGCACATACATGCTGGAGTTGTCTGGGAATGTACGCGCCTAATATGAGGCACAACCTTATTTAAGTCATTAGGTTATATGAAAAGGGCTATGAGGTCTTTTTTAGGTCTGGGAAGGTGCCTATTGAGAAACATGGTCGAGTTTATATTTGGGGGGAGATAATTGAGAATTTGTATCATCTAAATGTTATTAATGGAATGAATGATGTTACTTCTTCTTATATCAATGTGGCAATGACTGTGGTTGAAAATGATACATATATATATGGCACTTGAGATTAGGATACATTAATAAAAATACAATGCAAAAATTAGTAAAAAGAGAATTAATACCATATCTCAATGAAATTGAGTTCCAAACTTGTGAACCATGCCTATCAGGAAAATTGTCTAGGAAGTCATTCCTAAAAGGACAAAAATCACAAGAATTGCTTAACATCATCCACTCGGATATATGTGGATCAATGAATGTTAAGACACATAAAGGTATAAAGTATTTTATAACCTTCATAAATGATTACTCTAGGTATGGATATGTATACCTAATTAGTAAAACATCTGATGCTTTAGAAACATTTAAAGAATATAAGACATAAATGGAAAATCAATTATGAAGACATAAAAATTCTAAGGACCGATAGAGGGGAAGAATGCACCTCAGGATTATTTAACCAATTTTGTAAAGATCATGGTATAATACATCAAACGACCTCAACATACATCGCACAACAAAATGGAATAGCAGAAAGTCGCAATAGGACTTTAATGGAAATGGTTAGATCTATAATGGCTCATGCCAACCTAGCTAATTTTTTGGGGAGAAGCCATTAATACAATTATGTTCATTTTAAATAGAGTGCCAACCAAGTTTATAAAACTGACCCCTGATGAATTTAGAACAGGAAGAAAACCAGACCTAAGTATATTAAAAATATGGGGATCATTTGCACATGTGCGCATCCGACATCATCAAAGAGACGAACTCCATAGTAGAACAATTAAATGTTCATTTATAGCATATTGTGATAATTCTAAGGGATACAAGTTCTATAATCATGACAATAGAAACTTAACTGAGAGTAGGGATGCCCATTTTCTAAAAATTTAGATAACGAAAAAAATAAAAATAAAAAAATTGACTTTTTTGAAGAAGAGCATAATAAAGATCAAGTCAATCACATGGATTTTATACCAACAACTAGTGATTTTGACCTCATTGAGTCCCCTAATCTAGATAGAAATTGAAGGTTTAGATATCCTCCTTTCCATTTAGATGAATATTATGCATTCTTAAATGAGGATGAGATAGATGAACTACGTACTTATAGTGAAACCATCAATTCACCGTAATCATCTGAATGGGTCAATGCTATGGATGATGAAATTAACTCTATTGAAAGAAATCAAGTATGGGAACTTGTAGACCTTCCTGAAGATAGGAAGGTTGTAGGATGTAAATAGATTCATAAGAAGAAGTTTAAAGCTAATGGAACCATTAATAAATATAAGACTAGATTAGTAGCCAAAAGATTTAGTCAAAAAGGAGAAACATATCATGTGGAGACATACTCCAATAACATAATTTGCATCTATAAGAATAATATTAGCATTAGTAGCATATTATGAATTGTAATTATTTCAATTAGAAGTTAAAATAATATTCTTAATTGGAGAATTAAAAGAATATATTTATATGAATAA